TTTTATAAATGACCAATGACAAGGTAAGTACATTTACGCGTTCCATTTTTATTGAAAGAAGCAGCTGTCTATATGATGTAAAAATGCCTGGACTTCAATTTATCGTGGGAAATGGTTGTATAAAGTGTTGAAAAGTACTTTTTCATACATACTAGAATATGTCTTATTGATTGACTGGTTAGTTTTAAGTCCCTTACAAGGTTTTCCAATTCACTCATATGAGTCGTAATCAGAGGCCCATTAAAGGCTTCAAATATAGACTTGTACTCGGCAGTCGGGGTCATTGAACAGTAAGGGTTCTTATGCGTTCTTATGCGTGTCAATCCTGCCGTGACACGGGGACTCGGTTTGAAAGTCTCATCCCAAAGACCCACTACTTTTATTTCAATGTGACAAGCGCTAAGAGAAGGAATAGTTGCTAACTATTTTAAATTATAATATGCCTTGTTGTGATACAGATTATGCGTTGTATTTTAAATTTTCAGGTTGCTGCAAAGGTTTCTACGGTTTTTCATGTACGAAATGCAATGAATCTTGCTCCACATGTGACGCAGCGAATGGGGAATGCTTATCATGCTCTCCATTCAGGTTTGGAGCCCAATGTGAGAAGGATTGTCCGTATAAATGTCTGGACGGGCTTTGTGATAGAGACACGGGACTATGTACAAGTTGTTATCCCGGAGCATATGGGCAGAAATGTACACCTTGTGAAGCAGGGAAGTATGGATATTACTGCAATCAGTCTTGCACTGACCATTGTGATAGCGATTGTGAAGCTGAAACAGGCAAATGCATTACGTCCAGGAGTTTTAATAACAATATAGATGTCTTCAATCAAAAGAATATTTCCATAGCTGTGGTAATCTTCTTAGCCTTAAATATAATTATAATAATTGCCCTCGTTGAGAGAAAAGCAATACTGCGGACATGTATGGCCAAGAAGTATGACACTTGTGAGACATATCGTGTAATAGAGTTGGAGGAAATTCGGCAGGACAATCAAAACGAATATGAGGAAATATGTCAACATGAGTATGTGAACACATTAGATCTGGGTGTCTCTATTGAGAAATTTGTAGAAAAAGTCAGACGTAAGATGATTGATTTTTTCAAGGAATTTAAGGTAAATTAAGAGCCATTTTCTTACTTATTTTGTTAATGCATGTAGCATGTTGATGCTATTTTGAAAAGCATAATGCTAGAAGGCAAATTATCATTCTACAGTTGAAATTATACCTACACTCATTTAATAAAGTTTGACAGACATCTATAATTTAACACACATATTACATTATATAAACTTTGTTTCTATATCCTAAACAGTTTTGTTTTTGTTCCTAAATGATTAAAATTTTCTCTCCTTTTTTGCATTTGATTGTAGGAAATTCCTTGTGAAACGACAGATGATCATCTCAACGCACTTCTTCCTGAGAATAGAAGGAAAAATCGTTACAAGAAAATATATCCAAGTATGATTAGCTGATAGAAAGTCAGCTTTAAAGCTTTTATTCACAAAAAGGGGAAATACTAAAAAAAGCGTTTTGATTTCTTGTATGTTTTAGATGACTGTAGCAGAGTCGTTCTGGACTTGTGTGACGTAACTGGCAACTCAGATTACATCAATGCATCGTTCATAAACGTAAAGACTTTCATTTATTTAAATTTAATATAGCTTAAAGTGAAGTACAAATAAGAAACGTATGGAGCAGCCTAGAGGTTATTATTTTTTTTTTTTACAGAAATACATGTACTATAGGCAGTGTGCCTTGGTCAAGTCATACATGAATATTTAATGAATTATTTTTTTAAAATTCTGTACGCCTTGATTTTTAAAGATTATTTTTGTTTTATGTAGAGAGATGTGTATGTCTTGTATGTAATTATCAGAAATATATTTAGCTTCTGTTATTTTGGATTTAATTTCTTTTTAAAGGGATTCGAGAAAGATAGAAAATACATTGCTGCTCAAGGTAAAATGTCAAATTAAGAATAACTAGAAGCTAAGGTAGCTGCAGAACAGTAGCTCTCTTGTTGAGAAAATTTGGACAGACACACCAGAAAGCTACAGATCAAGCATTATAAAAAAGCTTCGATTATCGGCGCCGCTTTTTGTCGCTCGCCTTGGGTATAATTTTTACGGATTTTTCCATTTTTTCCCGATCAGGAGCACACGGCGGGTGTGACCGGTCGACAGGGGGTGCTCACTCTTCCATGGCACCTGATCCCACCTCTGATTTTTTGGTGGTCCGTTTTGCTCTCCTATCGGTTTGTATTGTTTTAATGGTCTTTGAGCTTGAATTCTGTTTGTTATCTCCATATTTCATTCTTGTATTATATGAGTTCCCCAGGTAAAAGCATGTTATCTGTTAATTAACCATATATTTTACTCATAATCCCGCAACAGAGAGTACTTTATTTTCTTCTAAAGGTTCAAAATCACCCTATTCGCATTCCGACGTCCCTGTTGGTTCTTAGTAAAAATAACATTCCCAAGTTTATACATATTACCTTCTTTTATTATATAGACAATAAAGATGATATTATGTGACCAACACCTACCCCCCCCCCCTCCACCCTCCCCCCAAAATAGATTTTCTCAGTATGTGTATGTTCTTTGATAGGCATAATTTTATTACGACTCCAATGCTTACGCCGGAATGCGAATTTTTAAACTGACATTCCAAGGCCATATAGGGCTGTTTGGTACCATTGAAAGATAAATAAAGTAACGAGATTATGAGTAAAATATATGGTTAATGAACAGATACCATGCTTTTGGCGAGGGGATATAATTCAGGAAACAGTACCCGAAGCGAGCGACATAACCGCGGTGCCATGAATCGAAGGTTTTTACAATGCTTGGATGTGTACATGTAGCTCTCTGGTTTGTTTGTCTGAATTTTCTCATCCAGAGAGCTACAGTTCTGTAGCTAAAGATAAGGGATATTTCTTTTGCAAATCACAACAGATCTAGAAATAACGATTAGAGAAGTTGATTTCTCTCTAGTAAATGCAAAATAAAGTAATGAATAAATATATTTAAAAAATTCTCATAATCAATATTTAATTGACATTGAAATTATATTCCATTTCAGGTCCATTTAATCACGAAACTACTGTTTTGTTTTGGGAAATGATCTGGCAATTTAACGTTACTAGAGTATTGATGTTGACTAAATTAATGGAAGGCGAGGAAGTAAGCTGATTATTTAGTATTTGTTATTAAGAATTTTATGAATATCTAGAACTGAAACGTATAGAGAACGTCATTCTGTACAACATATTTTTTGAAAATATGCGCGTATGGAAACTAGCTTTTATTGGTCAAATTGCTATGAGTGTCAAAATCTTAAAGCTACAATTTAATGGTTTTGGTTAAACATTCTGATTGTAAACAAAAGTACTCTGAAGTTGATATTAAAAAGATGCTTGAGTTTCTAATTGACAATATCGATGTGGTTTTCGGAGACCATGTATTCCAACAATCTGTTGGAATTCCCATGGGTACCAATAACGCCCCCTTGTTAACAGACCTATTTTTGTATTCATATGAAGCAGAATTTATTCAAAATCTTGTACATGAGAAAAAGAAATCTCTTGCTGTGGACTTCAACTCGACATATAGATAAATCGGCCACGTATTATCAATTAGCAATAATTACTTCTATTCATATGTCGAGACTATATATTCCAGTGAGCTTGAAATAAAAGATACCACAAAGTCTGACACATCTGTTTCATATTTGGATATTTTACTAGAAAAAGGCGTACTAGTATATAGTAATCTAACAACAAAGCTTTATGATAAACATGATGACTAACTTTTCAATTGTCAATTTCCCTTACTTATGCATCAATATACCCTTATCACCTGCATATGTGGTGTATATCTCTAAGTTGATTCGATACGCAAGAGCATGCTCTACGTACGAACAATTTCTAAAACGAGGTAAGTTATTGACAAACAAGTTAATGAAACAAGAATATCAGCAGTCTCTTTTAATGTCATCATTTCGTAAGTTCTATGTTCGATACAATACCCTTGTCAGCAAATACAATCTAGCATTAAGTCATATGCTGACTGACGTTTTTGATACTAATTGTTAGGCCATTTTTAAATACTGAATTGTCGACGAGTTATCCCGTTATTTCCCGATCATGACAAGGAGCACATAGGGGATGCTCACTCCCCCATGGTACCTGATCCCACCTCTGACGTATTGGAGGTCCGTGTTTGCTCTGCTCCGTATTTATATTGTTTTTTAGTAAACTTTGAGCTTGAAAACTGTTCGTTATCTCCGTATTTTATTTTTCTTTGGTTAATATCATGTATTACAGATGCAGTGCGTGCAGTACTGGCCTCAAGCGGAAGAAAGGATAGGGAGCGTAAAGATTATCCCACAGAGCTGTCGTATAATGGAGTGCATAACAATTAGAACTTTTCTTTTAGAGAGGGTACATTTTCTTTTTCTTTTAAATTTTGTTAAGATTCTCGATGAATAAGTAGAAACTGTGATTTTTTTAAAATATAGTTTTGATATACAAAGGTTTCATTCTTTTCTATCAAACAATATGAAATACTTAGAAGAAAGCAACAATTCGTATGTTTTTATTTTTATTTTCAATGATAGTGATAAATGAAAAAAAAACCAAACACATATATTCTTGTTTGAACTGTGTGCAGGATGACGAATCGCGAACTCTAAAGCATTACCAATTTACGGGCTGGTTTAAGAACAAAGTTCCAAGTAATGTAAATGCAATAATACAGTTCCATAATTTGGCCAAATTTAAAGAGGAGGAGGAATCGGGACCAATTGTCATTCACTGCAGGTTTGGTGAAGTGTGGATTATGATTGAAAAAAAAAAAATCAATTTCAATAAATAATATATTAATTATAAATTTGTTTCTGAAATTTTCATTAATTAAGGAACACTTTATTATAAAACACTGCTGTAATTAGGATTTTGATATATTTTCTTTAATTTAAGCTCGGGTATTGGGAGAACGGGGACATACGTAGCCTTTGATTACCTAATGGACGAAGCCAATAAGAAAGGAACTGTTGACGTCACAAACTGCATCGGAAAACTACGTCAGCAAAGACCGTTTATGGTGCAAACCTCGGTACGCTTAGTATTCAGTCATAAATAGTCGGCCAAGTTCGAATTGATACATCTCGTTTGTATACAATAATATGGTCAAGCATAGTTTTGGAAAACCTTTGATGAAATACGGAGATAACGAACAGTATTGAAGCTCAAAGTCCATCTAAACAATACAAATCGGGAGCAGAGCAAACACAGACATCCAGGAACTCCTTAAAGATTGTTGACAAATATTAGTAGATATCGTTTAGCATGTTGAAAATATCGGGTAGTTTCCTATCTACAGTTTGCTTACTCTCCAATTTTGACGTGTAGAATTATATTATAAAACAAATATAATACATCACTTTACTCTTTTCTATTTCTGTTGCATTTAACTCTCATTATTTTGGCTTACACTAATTATGATAGCATATTACATAAACTTTGGAAAATTTTGATCATTCGATCGACACAGGATGATTAAATTAGGCATTTGATCTCAACTCTTATGATTTCATAGGTCTGTATTTACTTTGTTCGATTTAAACTAATTAATTGGTCTTTGAGCATAGTAACTAGTTCATTTTTTCCACATTTCATTGACGTGTATGGAAGGGAATTACCACCAAAAGTCTATTTATCTTGCTTTTATTCTTTTTCTGCCTACTTCTATATTCTTTGTTATTATTGTAACTATATGTCACTTTATTGTTTTCATATTCGTCTTTATTACATTTCACTTTGAACCTTTTTCATTCTTCATTTTGTGCTTTCTTCTATGTTGCTTTATTCTTGTATATACGTTCTTTATTCTTTTAAATTGATACAGTTTCTTTAATGAATAATTATGATCATCTCTATTACAAATGTAAATTCAGTCACGCAAACCATGAAGCGCATTCAACGAAGACGAATACAAGTAGTGTGAATTTAATGCGGCATTATAACGCTAGGTGGCAGGGTGGTAAAATTAGGTACGCAAACCCGGGCCAGGGTTATTCGAGATTTTTCAATTTTCTGCCTTCATACTTTATCAATCGAACCCAAATTTTCAAATGATGTATGTTATAGGTTCAGGTATGTACCCGGTGTCGTTCCCCCTGAAGGCTGGCTAGATGGTAAGACTTCCCCCGGAAGACTAGCTATATAGTGAGACTTCTCCAGGAGAAGTCTCACTATATAGCCAGTCTTCCGGGGGAAAGTCTCACTATATAGTCAGTCTTCCCCCCTTCATAGCAAAACTTCCCCCTTTAATTTTGTTTCCGAATATTTTTTTTTTATTGTAAAACAATGTTTTTTATACTAACGTTTTCAGTGTTTGGATAAAAGTTAATTCTCTTTCCTACATGATTGAATAAATAAATATACGAATAAATAATTCAAACATTTTAATTGTAATTTTTATAATTAAAACATCTTAACCATGCAGGTAAACATAGGTAAATTGCACGTTTCTACGGGTAATGACCTCTTTACTGTTAAACTAATTATGTCTTTTTTCTTTTGATAAGAATCGTCTCTTAATACAATACCATAATCTGCTGTGCACGATAAATTTTTAATGCGCACTTTTATATTGATTGATTTGAAACTATATATATTTTTTTATATATAAGATCATTTAATTACCTTAAAATGCAATATATACTATCGTCGATGTAAATAAAATCCAAACCAAACACGGAAGGGGAATTCTTACTATGGTCGTTTAGGGCGGAAGGCTCACTATACATTCATTGCCCCCCCCCCCCCCCCCAGGGGAAGTCTCACTATATCGCTAGACTTTCGGGGGGGAGGAGACTCACTATGGGGGAAGTCTCACTATATGACTTCGGTAGCGGGGGTGGGGGGGGGGCATCAAACATTTTTCTAGCCATAACTTTTTACTACTGAAAATGTTCAATGAAAGTCTGGTTGCCCCCCCCCCCTCACTTTTTGTTGCAGTTTAGTTAAATAAGGGCCATGTACGTTGTGATGTATGAGTAAAATTTGGTTCTGAAAGAACTGAAAGAATTTTCCTCTTTTTTGTTTTTTGTTTGTTTGTTTGTTTTTGTTTGTTTGTTTGTTTGTTTTGCTTGTCAAGATTTTTAGGTAAGTTATTTTTTTCTCTGGCTGCCCCTTTCAAAAACGATGCTACGTCTCTAAGTTTTATCTGTATTCGCTGTAAAAATTGGCATTATTTATATTCATGTATTTATATTTTGAAAATCTCAATATTTTAGATTATTTTTGGCGATTTTTGATTTCCAATTTGCTAAGATGGATAGACAATATCAAGCCGACATTTTACGTATTGTTTGCCAAACGAGACATTGGCAAAATAATTAGGTCTTTCCACCTTTCTGTGGAAAGACCTATTGATTTTCTTCTGTTTATTATTATTATTATTATTATTATTCTTCTTATTATTATTTTTCTTCCGCTGATTTTTTGTTTCGACATTTATCGAAAAGATTTTTTGTTCATCGTAAAGGTCATAAAAAGTTATGAACAAATTTGACCCAACGCATATAACCTATGACCTCTTTCGCAGTTATTGCCCCTTTCGCTAGAAACCTTGTTATCGCTACTCCTCTGAAACCGTAAACCATAGAGGTACGAAACCTTCACCAATGTCTTCGACTAATTGAGGAGACTCTTCAATCTATTCATTACGAAAGGATTCGTTGAGCCCTTTTATGAGTTATTGCCCCTAAAAGTTTTTGAAGTTTATAATTAATGAAAAATTTTCAAAACGATAAGTCGTAGAGACATGAAACTAACTGCATTAGATTCCTTAACCCTAGACCTTGAAGTTTATGTCAAGGTCAAAGGTCAAGGTCATTCCAAATAAGAGAAATAAAGCTCTTTTTATAGCTCTTTTGTCTTTCAACATATACAGTATATCTTTGCATCTTTAATATGTACTTTGAAAACTATTTCAAAGATTTCAATCTTGTCCCCTTAGCTTAACCCTTTTAAAAGTTATTGCCCCTTGTGCAAAAAACCTTGTTATCGCTACTCCTCTGAAACCGTAAACCGCAGAGACACGAAACCTTCACTAATGTATTCAGTGTCTTTAGACACAACTTCAATCTATTCAGTGCGAAAGTATCCGATGACCCCTTATATGAGTTATCGCCCTTTAACGTCTTTGCGCTTACTAGTAAACCTTATAACTTTAAAGCTAAAAGTCGTAGAAGCATGGGGTTAATTGTAATGAGACCCTTGGCCTTTGACCTTGAATATTTGTTCAAGGTCAAAGGTCAAGGTCATTTCAAAATTTTTAAATTTTCATTTTTTCCATCTCTCAAGCCATTTCTGGTTTCTTTTGTATAAAAATAAAGAGTAGAGAGTTAAATATGAAGAATATATGAAATTTAAAGGTGGAAAGACCTCTAATTGTTCGAGAACAATTAGTCTACTAGTTTTTTGAGTTATTCTGATGTCAAACACTGTGTGCTTACCAGAGATATTTATTTCTTTATTGAAAATGCTATTTCTATACAAAAAATTAATACGTATTTTCATAAAAATCGGGGGAAGTTTCTAGTATGCCCCGGTCTAGCCTGGTTCCGGCCACGCCTACCCTTGACGTTTCGCACTACTGTGCAGAGCATTATGGGTTGGCCAAAACCAGACTAGCTCCGTTACCCAGAATCACGCGACTGCGCATGAACAGTTATTATCCTGAAATAAAGAAATGTCAGTTCAGTGGAAGAATATATAGGGGTCCTGAAAAACAACTCAATTTATAAGGGTATACTAGTTATTATCAAAATATAAAATATTTTTTATATCAATAAAACTGAAATTCAATCATCCAACAAATAACTTGAATAGGGTTATATTTTTCATGTGACAGAAAATACAAGATTTTCTTAAAACGAGTTATTTAAAGCAACAAAAGCACATTTGAAAGAAGAAATGCTTATAAATAGTTAAAATATAATGTTTAACACCAGAATAATTCATAAATTTGTAAGCTTTTTGTCCAACCCCCCCCCCCCCCCCCAAAAAAAACCCCAACCCCCAACCCCCCCCCCCCCAAAAAAAAAAAACCAAAAAAAAAAAAAAAAACCAAAAAAAGAAACCCACCAAAAATGTCAGCTTGATACTGCCTTCCCATTTTACCAATTTGGAAATCAAATATCTTTGAGCTGAGAAAATCTAAAATATTGAGCGTTTCGGGGCAATTTTACCGCGTATACAAATAAACCTATAACTAACATAACTTGAAAATTTGGGTTCGATTGATAAAGTATTAAGGCAGAAAATTGAAAAATCTCGGAATAACCTCGGCCCGGTTTGCGTACCTAATTTTACCAACACTCGCAGCGAACACCCTGCCACCTAGCGTTAAAATGCCGCATTAAATTCACACTACTTGTGTTCGTCTTCGTTGAATGCGCTTCATGGTTTGCGTGACTGAATTTACATTTGTAATAGAGATGAACATAATTATTTATTACAGAAACTGTATCAATTTAAAAGAAAAAAACGTATATACAAGAATAAAGGAATAAAGCAACATAGAAGAAAGGACAAAATGAAGAATGAAAAAAGTTCAAAGTGAAATGTAATAAAGACGAATATGAAAACAATAAAGTTACAATAATAACGAAGAATAAAGAAGTAGGCAGAATAAGAATAAAAGCAAATAAATAGACTCTTGGTGGTAATTCCCTTCCATAGACGTGTTTCTTATATAATATGTTGTCGTCTTATTTTGTTAAATGTTTAGCTCTGATCAGAATAGGCAACGCAGAAAAAAAACCTAAATCACGAAATCTTACAAATATATGATATAAAAAATAACTAGATTTATTGTTCGATAGGTAAAAAGAATTTCTTTTTTATTTTTGTTAAGTTTTGTGACCTGGTGTCACGATTTCACAATTGGTATATTATATTTCCAATCTTTTGTTTCCTAAAATACTCTTACTTCCTTTCATCCTCTTCTCTGAAAGCTGTATGGTTTTAAGGACATTTTAAAAAAAAATTACTAAAAAATCTGTTGAAACGATCTTCTTAGAGTTTTTATAGCCATGGTGCAAACTATATACTTGTATTGAGGTTTCAGTGAAAATAATAAGAAATTTTTTAAGTTTTAAGTTCTTCATTGAATTTTTAATGAAATAAAACTCTTTAATATGTATTAGATGATACTTTTCAGGAAGAGTACCGTTTTCTGCACGAAGCCTTATCTGAAAATCTCACACATTTGTATGTGGACGTCATATCCTGAAATAGAAGCATTGAGGAAATCCCAGTTATATCAAAGATATAAGTAAAAGAACAACCAGTAAAGATTTTTAAAAAATGGGAAAAAAGAAAAGAAAAGAGCGGTCACTGACAATTTCAAATCATAATGACATTCATGGCATTGGAAGCTGAAACAGAATAATCCTTTTCAAATATATAGACTGTCATGAAGTTCTTTTGGATTTTGTGCAGGCAGTAGAGAAAACGATAAGCCATAGAATAAACAAAACAAATTAAATTTAATAAATAAAAAAAAAATAGAAAATTTCAAAACAAACACACTCTCGCGCACCCTCTCTCACAAAGAAACAAATTATAACTTTAATTTGCAAACCAAATAATATTGACAATGAAATAAAGATTTAACTTTAAACACAATCAATTGTCAATAAAACAGATATTGGTTTCAAAACATAAACTCTAACTTTAACTGGAAACAATCAAATAATAAAGTTCAACACTGTATTAAGTGTCCGCAAAAAAAAATTCACTTTTAATTAAACAATAACAGTAAATGTAAATTCCGTTAAATGTCAAAATTTAATTCTTATCAATGTTTTATTTCTTTAAACTGAATTGGAAGTTTGGCATTTTGCTGTTCAATACCGTATAAAAACTGTTACATTAAACTTCACACCACTGGGCCTCCATACAAAGAACACTCCGCCCCTTTGATTCCAGCCCTGGACTCACAGGTCTCCCACTGGACAACTTGAGAATTTACTCGTCATTATACTGCCGTGAACCATCACCAATGCTCTATACGCACTGTCCACGTACACCACGCCCTGTGTCACCAACTTGTTTTGGCCCCCGTCTCGACACACGACCCAAACTCCCTCGTGAGGTCCTAAACCTACTTCAGTCCCGGGTTTATAATCATAACCCCTCCGCACTGAAACAATAATTAGCTTATCTAAAACCTATACCCTACTCACTTAAACTACAAATAGTGATAACAAACAATACACCCGTAAAGTTAGAACAAAACCCACAAATATATACACAAAAGAAAATTATAGCTTACCGGCTGGAGAAATAAATACCCATGTAGTAAAATTACCGACTCCTTGGCTACCCGTTTACCAGACTTACTTCTGGAATTCGCCATGGAATATCGACTACAGGACAAAATCAAAACGTGGCCGCACACTTGACAAACAGCCACGACTCTCCCTGACCAAACCGGTCATACTAAAAATAGCCTATTTACGAACACTCTCAACTACGGAACCAAAATAGGGATATAATTACAACTATTTACACATAAAACAACAAAACTGATAAGCAACATAATTCAACTTCATCACATAGACTATCTGTGTTTTCGTTTGTATTTTACTTTTGATTACTAGATACTAGATCGATTTCAGAGAGAGAGAGAGAGAGAGAGAGAGAGAGAGAGAGAGAGCATTCACTTAAGATGCAAATCCCAAATTGAACATATTGTATGAAATTCCTTTACCTCCGAAATTCCTTACTAAGTGTTGTAAAACTGTAAATGTATTTATAATGTATTACATACATATGCATTCTCTTAACATGAAGAAAATAATTTTTTTTCTTCTAATTTTCAATCCCAGTTTTATAACAGCAGAGCATGACATTTCTAGCGTGACCTGACAATACGAAACATGTATTAGATTCATATACTAGTATATGGTTTTGAAACCAACTGAAGGTTATTTTAAGCTTCAAATTACACTTGTTGAGAAATGAGTTCCATCTTATTCTACTTGGCAAATTCAATAACATTAGGAATGCCAAAATTGATCCCTTTACACGTGCTATAGCAGTTCATATTAGATGCAAAGATATTTTTGAACATAAGCAAGACAAAAATACATGTATGTAGAATTTTTAAAATGATTTTTTTAATTATGTGTGATCATTAACATGAAGTTGTTTGATCGTGGATTTTCAAAAAATAGTTTTTTTCTGTTCATTCTCAATTTTGAATAATGCTTTGAACCATTGTTCTATATAACAATTCGGGGCTAAATGAATATGATTTGAGTTACCGTAAACTGAATAATACATTGTTATATGAAGGTTTTACTTCAAGTAAACAAACTGTCAGCATTTATTCAAATATTGCTTTTCAAAGAATTGGATATATGGAAATAACGAACAGTATTCAAGCTCAAAAGTTCATCAAACAATACAGAACAGGAGCAGAGCAAACACGGACCTCTGAAACATCAGAGGGGGATCATGCGCCATGGAGGAGTGAGCATCCCCTGCCGACCTGGTCACACCCGCCATGTGCTCCTTGTCATGATCGGGAAATAAGGGAAAAATACGTCGACAATTCAGTGTGTAAATAATGGCCTAACAATTAGTATGAAAAACATCAGTCGGCATTTGACTTAATGATAGATTGTATTTGCTGACAACGTCATTGTATCGACCATGGAATTTACGAAATGATGACTTTACACGAGACTGCTGATATTCTTGTTCATCAACTTGTTTTTCAATAACCTACCTCGTTTTAGAAATTATTCATACGTAGAGCATCTCTTACGTATCGAATCAATTGAGAGATATAAACCCCGTATGCAGGTGGTAAAGGTGTATTACTGCATAAGTAGTAAATTCTGTTTAGAAATATTTGTACATGTAAAATTAACTAGTACTATTTCAAAGAGTAGAATTCTTATTAGAAAAAGAATTTTCACTTGTGTTTAAGTGCTCTATAGGAAAATTTTTGGTGAAGCTAATACAGCCCATTGTGTTGGCAACGTTTGATTATCTGCTGTATGGATATGTTTTAAATCTAGAATCCCTCGAACTAACGGCAGTGCACTGCTAACATCATGTCCTTTTTTGGTCCAGTGCCGTAGTATGAAATGATCATCAACAGAAACGCCTGATGAACAATTATTTGGCAATTATAAAACATGGTCTTACCGTGACAATCTCCAACCAAAAATCTGTCTTAACCTCAAAAGTTAGCTTGTTTTATGTTTATCAAAACAAAATTTTATGTGTCTGTTGTTTTGTAATCGTGCCAATTTAAATAATTATGTAATATCAATTTGACTGATTGTATTGATTTTCTATTGATCGTTTTTTTTTTCTTGAAGACTTGACACTATTACACTGTACGTACCAATTTATTCATTTTTAAATCTTAATAAATTGTATATATTACAAATAATGTCGAAAAAAAATATAAACTACCGACGAACTGATTGCTTTATCAATATTTTCTGTATAGTGTATTCAGACAGATACACTTGTGACAGTAATTACACTAATGTTTATCCAGATATTATGAAAGTGTTCGTAACAAAAATATGTCCTTTTAAATACCTCTAGCAGCACTCATTTAGAATGGGGATGTGATATTGCATTCAATGTGAAAATACCATGTACGACTAATAATTAAATTTGGTCTTAATTTTCAAATCTAAAAGCAGAATGATATTGTACTAAATTATCTACTCTTAAATCGTTTGCTAGCATGTATTCAAACTATCCCTAGTACTGATTAGGAAAAAAATATGCCATTAAAGAAATTCTGAATTTTCTTTTACAAGAAATAAGGAATATAAAAATATCTTAATATGAATGTACAAAATATAAAAGTATCAGTAAAACTCTAACGAAACATTAAATATAGATATGGATATCGACGTTTTGACATGCAATTGTTTCGTTTTCTTTCGTATCTGTACAGAATGCAATAATCAAATTGTAGAGCACGTGACCCTATTAACTATAAGAATTGGTACTGAAATAAGAGACTATATATCCATGGTTCAGGTACACTGGCAGAGTTTCATAGTGTTTTCAGTATCATTTTCAAACAGTTTACTCATTCTCATAATGAACTATCATCGATTTCTTTAAAAATCTTTACCAATGTTTATGTACTTATCAGTGAGAAAGCTGTAAAAGCTCTGAATATACGTCGGACATTGCACTGTGGCTTAAAATTATCTGAAACTCATTCACGGAAGTACTTTCAATTTCTATTAAGTGTAATTTATCTAAGTTCTTAAAAAATGGGAATGTTTTATATTGTATGTTCAAGATACATGAGATTTATCTATGATCATTTAATCATTTAATGAAAATGATTTTGTTTTGACTTTTGATATTTAAGCTTCAAATACAATAAATGAATTCAAACAAGGTGAAAACAATTGCAGGGCTGTTTAATCTGGAAGCAACATTGTTGTTTTTGGAAATGGTTTGCAAACTAAAGCCACAAAAATATTGATGCTTACAAAATTAATGTAAGATACCTGTGTGAGCACACTTAAGGTTTATTTTTTTATTTTTGAAACTAACACACAAAAAGACTGAACAAAGACTAGCCACCCTTCGCCATAAATTACTTTCAGGTTTCGTTGGGTTGGCTGATAGGGATCAGTTTGTCTGTCCGTTCCTTGTTCATTCTATTCATTGGATATTTCTTGACTTGAGTAAATTTTCTCTCCCATATCTTAATTGGTTATACTTCACTCACACAGTGCCCATGGGTAATGATATGCAGTGAATTTTATCCAAGTGTCTTGATTAGTGTTGTCAAATCGGACGATTTTTAGTAACCGGTTACTCGCTTAGCTTTCCGATCGAGTAACCGGTTACTCGGATGGTTTTTCTTCAGATATAAAACATTTTTGTTCGCGATATATCAGAGCTCCCACGGGAGCGAAAATATTTTTCGCCACTTTTCGCGATGAAAGGAATCGCATTCTTTCATCTTGTCTTGACAAGTGTATGTGCTAAACACTCCACTAATAGCACAATTTCAATTTGTTTATATCACAGGCATTGTTTTGAAATTGTAAAATTTAAAGTTGTATCCACTTACAAAACTAATATAGGAATTATTTCTACATTTATACAATTAATTTGATACTGATATTAGCCAACTCTTGACAGTAGATGTACTCTTGTTCATAATATTTTTTTAGCCTGGGATGGGGGTGGGTGGGTTACAGACTTAGTAAAGATATATGACATTTTTT